GTGAATTCATGAAATTTTAATATTGGCAAGCAACGTACAATACAATTTATGTTAGTGAATCCTTGAATTTGACATTTTGTAACTTGGCTATTTATTGGTGTGCTACAGTGCAAAAGCAGAACAATATTTTAAAGTGCTGACCGGCTTGTGGAGCAGTTATCGAGCAAGTATTTATTTTCATGCAAGTTGATGGATGTGATGATGGCGTGTCACGTATAGCGCTAACCTTATCACTATACCTTATTGCAGACAGTCAGTGGCGTAGCCAGACCGCCAATTTTGTGCCGCTATGCAAATTCAAAATTATTATCATTATCCATTTCTTTAGAAATTGATTGTTTTCACAGTCAATGAACATGAAAATATTTGCATAGCGGGACCAAATAGTCGGGCTGGCTACGCTACTGCAGACAGTACTGCAGTACAAAAATGTCAGGCAGCAAGCTGTGCAAGGCAGCTGGTCTAAAATCCTATCGATATCCTAACAGATAATTTGTTTTATAATGCTATTTTAAAAAATTTCAAATGAGAATTTTAACAATATGATAATGATACGACTAGCTTTAAATGTACAAAGCCTTTCACTCATTGTATTGTCTTTATTGTGGACTAAACCATGTGTTGTTTAGTGTGGCATTGTTTATATTGTAAATTATATGTATCGTATTGAACAGTGTAACTAGACACTAAAAACAATTGTTCATTTACTTGAAAGCTTTCCAGATGAGAAGAGATTCCCTGAATTGCACAGCATATGGGTGAAGAATATAAGCAAACTTATGCCAGTGAAGTTTGTTCCTATGAAAAATAGTCGTTTGTGTTCGAAGCATTTTAGTGCTGATATGTTCGAGAAGGGTTACAGCCAGAGACCAGTGTTAAAGCCATATGCTGTACCAACAATCTTTAATGATTCCTTTGGTCAAGTTGGTTGTGATATTTACAGTTTGTTATGAGTGTATCAGTACAATTAATTGTCATACTGTACATGAGGGGTAATTAATACTGAATTTTAACATTATTCAATAATTAATGCCTGACATACTGCAACTGCCAAAGTTATAGGGATGTAAAGATGTTGTCATGCAACCTCTTTTGCATGGGCCTTTTGATATTGGATAATTGGACAAACCTTAATTTTCATTCAATCTATGAATCTAACATACTGTATATACAATATATATTAGATTATCTACAATATATATAATTATTATATATCTACAATATATATTGTGGTCTTACCTCTGACACCAGCTCAGTGTATGAGGCGAAGAGCAAACTATTGTAGGCACACAATAGAAAATTATTGATACAAAAAAGTCCTTTCTCATGTTTGCCCAGTGAACAAGAGCATAAAAATATTTTTTTACAATAAGTGAGACAGTGTTTATGAATTAATCATATGAAAGCTTTTCATACTTAAACAAACACAACCTGGCAATTTTTTCAGAACACATGTCTAAACATTATTTGGACATTCTTGACATCCCCTACTGTTGCTGCGACATGTTATCAGCAAAGGCTGCCAGAATATTTTTCCTATTGTTAACAAATCTCTTTCTTCCTCTAAAAAGAAAGTTGCTGCTCACATCAATTGATAAGTAGCTAATTGATGGATTACATCATTAGCTAGTAACCCTAACCCTAATAGTCGAACATCCTATGTGCTGTAATTTTGTAAATAATTTTCATATTTTTCAAAATATTTCTTTTGCACTTGTCAGCTATGGGTGAATAGGCTCATTAAAATAATTTTTGTCTATCTTACAGGTACCGGTACAAATGGAGTTGTTGCCTTCGGATATGTCGAAGGTTGTTCGTGATGATGAAAAGTTGTCTGAAAAGCAAGAGTGTATAAAAGTCACTGAAGACAGGTCTATGATTAATGCAGAGCTGGGTAGTGGTATTGTAAGTACCAGTACTGGAGAAAAGAGGAAACACTGTGAAGAGAGTGATTATATTAATGAGGTGCCCATCCCTCAAAAACGAGCGTGTATGGGTATTAAACATGACCATACAAATTCTGTAAGTACCCATTGTAGATTGAAACAGAAGGCCGATAATCTGTTAGACAGAGAAAAAAATCTGAAGAGGAGATTGAAAACATCTCGTATGAAAAGCCACAGGATGAAAAGAAAGGTGATTTCTTTGACTTCAGTGGTAAGTGAGCTGAAGAAAGAGAAACAGCTGGTGAGTAGTAATTGGCCAGTATCCTGGAGACAACTTTGTCAGGGGTTCCTAAGGAACTTATGAAAAGGTTGGTGACACAGAAGAAAAAGAAAAATCCAGGTGCGTATCCAGAGGAATTACGAACATTCGCTCAACAAGCTATATTTGTTAAAGTTTACTTACTGGAGATTATTATAATACTCGTGTTTTAAAGAATCTTGATAGTCAGTTGCGCAACACAAATTCACAATACAACAAGAATTGATAAATCGTTTCAATTACTTACATGCTTTGTCCTTGTGGTCGTCAAGCTCTATTCATGTCTTTTTTTATTAATGGCATTCGGTCTTTATTCATTTATACGCGCAGTTGGAATAATATTATTTTCAGGACGAAAATCAAAATACTCTCCGTCGATCAACTAATATAAACAGTCAGTACATAAATCACTGTAAAATCAGGGGGGGGGGGTGAACTTTGTCGCCCACGGACATTCGAGCCACGGGTCAGTGGAAATCCCCATGAAAATAGGTCGATTGTGACGTAAAATCCGCCATGTTTTTGGCAACACATTTTCGTCGAGGGCACGATCTCCAGATATATAGTATAGCTCAGTGATTCAGACCGTATCGTTTTGCTGCCAAGTGAATGACATGACGTCATTATTATATCATATATATTTGTATTTATATCATTAGGAATTGGTCATTAATAATGGGAGGGGGGTGGACAGTGAGTAATAAATACCAAATATTGAACTTTTTAGAGCCGCCCCCGATCGCAAGACCTTTATTTTCAAGACGCCCCCACCTTCATCTAGAATATTCAGGACTCCCGGCCCTCCACTTGAACATTTAATGGTGTGAGACATTGTGTAGCCTAAATAGTTAGAGGACCAGTATTCAAAATGGTTGTTATTTACTCCGACTCCTATGGTGAACTGCATATACGTAATAAACTATGGAAACTACGAATTATAGGAACTAAAAAAGGTGAAATACTTTGTGGGATACGATAAAAACGAGAGATTGAGAATGAGTAGGACAGTATTAAAAAATTGGGGTTGCCCCTTGTCACATATTTTTCAGTTTGAGGCCGCCCACAATTCAGGCAAAAATAGTTGAAGCCGTCCCCCCCTTTTTAACCACATCTTATTACACTATAAATAATCCAGCTGTTAATAATTTTTTACCCAAAAACAACACATAATTACAAATGATCTTAGTTCATTCATGGTTTGCAATCAATCCCTGGAGATTTACAAGACAAAAACATGGCTGTTATTTTGGAGGAAAACACGCTCCATTTCAGTTCCAATACAATGGCTGTTACAGTCGTGCCAATAGAAGCGTTCCGAAAAATGTTGACTTCCGAAAAATATTTCATTGACCAATCAAATTTTATATTTTATTTTTGAGCAATCTGATTGGTCAATGAAACAGGAAGTTAGGAACTTTTTAAGGAACTTATCAAATTGTTGAGGAATTCTTCAACATGGCCGCCATGACGTCAATTGCAAACCAAGAATTATAAATACATCCCTGAATCAACAAATCAATTATCACCAAAATGTCAATCTCCTTTTCAGTATTTAACCAATTACCAAAATATCAATCTCCTTTTCAGTATTTAACCAATCGCCAAAATATCAATCTCCTTTTCAGTATTTAACCAATCATCAAAATGTCAATCTCCTTTTCAATATCAAACAACCCCAAATCAATTTCAAGCTAAATTTCAAAAACAACATGTTACAAAAAATATTTTCAATTTATCTTGCCTGGGGCAGCATATTGTCATGCATACTCATATGATCTTCAAGTTCAGTGGCAATGTCAAATTCAGCATCGCAGACACAACAGATATAGCCAATACCAGTTGCTTCTCTTGCTTCCAATTCCTTACAGACATCACATTGGTAGAATGTACCACAACTCAGTATCTCATTAGCTTGTCCTTGTCCTTCTCCTTGTGACTGACTAATTTCTCTGCCACAAGTGTTGCACAACAAAAATCCATCTCTTGAATGTAATCTCCAGTGACGTTTGAAACTTTTTCGTTGTGTGAATGTTTTCTTGCAGATACGACACTCAAAACTCTGTTCACTCTTGTGTGCTGATATTTTATGTCGCGTTAACTTGCGTGATTCTGGAAATCTCTTGTTACAAACATCACATTCATAAGGTTTGTCTCCAGTGTGTGTTCTTTTATGTTGAGTTAAAGTACTCGGATCTGAAAATCTTTTGTTGCAAACATCACATTCATAAGGTTTGTCTCCCGTGTGTGTTCTTTTATGAACGGTTAAGTGGCTCGAACGTGAAAACCTTTTGTTGCAAACATCACATTCATAAGGTTTGTCTCCAGTGTGTGTTCTTTTATGATCCACTAAATGGCTCGACTGTGAAAATATTTTGTTGCAAACATCACATTCATAAGGTTTGTCTCCAGTGTGTGTTCTTTTATGAACCACCAAGTTGCTCAACTGTGAAAATCGTTTGTTGCAAACATCACATTCATAAGGTTTGTCTCCAGTGTGTGTTCTTTTATGAACCACTAAGTTGCTCGACTGTGAAAATATTTTGTTGCAAACATCACATTCATAAGGTTTGTCTCCAGTGTGTGTTCTCCTATGTCGAGTTAAAGTACTCAGATCTGAAAATCTTTTGTTGCAAACATCACATTCATAAGGTTTGTCTCCAGTGTGTGTTCTTTTATGTCGAGTTAAAGTACTCAGATCCGAAAATCTTTTGTTGCAAACATCACATTCATAAGGTGTGTCTCCAGTGTGTGTTCTTTTATGAACCACCAAGACGCTAGACCATGAAAATCTTTTGTTGCAAACATCACATTCATAAGGTTTGTCTCCAGTGTGTGTTCTTTTATGAACCACTAAGTTGCTAGACCGTGAAAATCTTTTGTTGCAAACATCACATTCATAAGGTTTGTCTCCAGTGTGTGTTCTTTTATGTCGAGTTAAAGTACTCGGATCTGAAAATCTTTTGTTGCAAACATCACATTCATAAGGTTTGTCTCCAGTGTGTGTTCTTTTATGTCGAGTTAAAGTACTCAGATCTGAAAATCTTTTGTTGCAAACATCACATTCATTAGGTTTGTCTCCAGTGTGTGTTCTTTTATGAACCACCAAGTTGCTAGACCGTGAAAATCTTTTGTTGCAAACATCACATTCATAAGGTTTATCTCCTGTGTGTGTTCTTTTATGAACCGTTAAGCAGCTCGACCGTGAAAATCTTTTGTTGCAAACATCGCGTTCATAATGTTTGTCTCCAGTGTGTGTTCTTTTGTGTTGCACCAAATTTCTTTTCTTTGAAAATATCTTGTTACAATACTCGCATTTCATAGACATGATTTGAGCTTTTGATTTTTCTCCGTACGGTCACACGTGCGGTCAAATTTCGATAAAAATATTACCCAACTGTTCCCTCGAGTCTTTCTTTATTGAATCGTTTAACCACTTCGGTACTTACAGAAAGTCTGATCATAAAAACAAAAATCTTCGGTGACACAGTTTGCAACCAACACCAATATGAAATACGGCGCCGAGAAAGAATTCATTGCCGTGTTTCCACTTCACAAAAATAAATTTTGATTTCGCAACAGATAGAATAAATGCACAGTTGAACAAAAAAATGGTGCTGTTGGAGAGATGAAAACTTTTTTGTGCCAAATGCTTTTGTTTCATAATTAATTCATTATAAATACAAGACATCTTTGCGTTAGATGGGAACTCTTATTATAAATTACGGAAATCTTAGATAAATTACGGGAAAAAATTGGTAGTTGTCATAAAAAAAATGTTGTTTTGTTAGCCGCTTTCTTCGTTTTCAACCGCCATTCCAGAAACAAACAACGACGAATGTCAACGTACATTTAATAGTTTCGAAATCTAAACAATACAAAATTACACATACTTTTACAATAAAAAAGACATATAAAATACAAAAATAATGCCGATAAACGTAAAGTCACATGCAATAAATTACCCGGTGGTCTCCTCGCAATTTAACGGCTAGAAATTCTTGAATATCGCCTCTTAAATCACTTTCTAAAAGTTATATATACACTCGATCAAACATGGCGTCCAAAAATATCCTTATATTTTTCATCAACCAAAAGTCGCTTCCGTGCCGAACTTCGTGATCCCGTTTCTCATCGCTCAAAAGTCGTTCGCTACTTTCGTACTAAACGAAACAAATTTCAACCCCTCATCTCAAATCCTCTGTTACATTCTTTCTGCAGTGCCCCCCCCCCACCCCCCAGAAATTGAGAGCCAGCTACGGGCTTGCTACCCGTGCCAATTTCCTATAAGAATTCCTATAGGATCCTATAGGAATAGATTTCCTATAGGAATTTCCTATAGGAACTGAACGCCTAGGAGTTTAAAGTAGGAGTTTTGGAGATGCAAATAACACAAAAATATACAAAATCGGCCCCCTAGGATATATGTGGTAAGGGGTAGACCATTAGATATCTGATGGGGAAGTTGCGTGAATTTTTGGTGCTCAATATTTTTATGTACTCATTCATCTATGCAGGATTTTTTTCTCAAAACTTTTAAATTGCATCGGTATAAAAGCTAAGGCATTTGCTCTGCAGCAACACAATTCAAATGCATGTATTGGGTTACACAATGCACCAATCCACACTGCGGTAGAAGCATATATCAGGGCCGTAGGAAGCTCTTTTCGATTATTGGGGGGCCTGAAAGCATATATATGGCTGAAAGCGAGGGCCGAAGACCCGAGGAAATTTTTAAATTTAGAGTCTCTGAAATGCCATTTCCTGGACTTTGGGAAAGATTTGACAGAATTCTAATGGTCAGAAAACAGAATTTTAGTATGTCGAAATTTACAATTTAGTAGTACTAAATGGGCGAAGGCGTATTTAATTAACTATATATTGGATAAGTTGCAGGAAAGTATATGGGTAATATCTTTATTCTTTGCAGTTTGTCATGGATTAAATGACAAAGGTCTGCATGATTTTGAAAAAAAACTGATTATTAGCAAATTGCTACGGCCCTGTATATATTATGCTTGATTAATTGAGGGGGGAGTTGAATATTTCGAATCTCTAGATCGTCGGAAATGGCACTTTCAGAGTCTTCATTAATTTATTGATTGTGATTCTAGAGATGCTATGAAATTTTATACCAGGAAAATGTACTTCTTTTCTTCCTGAGATCTTATCATGTGAGACACAAATAGCGAATAAAAATTACGAGTCCTATAGATCTAATTACGAAAGCTATAACATATTGATTCCCCAAGCTGTCTTAAAAAAGTAGGATTTTATGAGAAAAAGTAGGAAAAAGTAGGAAAATCAAGCAATTTTTAATAAAAAATAGGAAAAGTAGGAAAGTTGAAGAAAAGTAGGAAAAAGTAGGAAAAGTAGGATGGCAAGAAAGCCTGATTAGTTGTCATATCAATGGATTTGGCCTGTCCAATTGTCTGTCGAGACTTGAGAGAGTTAAAGTTAAATGAATCGGTAAAAGTGTAAACCCAATAGGCCAATACACAATATACTTTTACTTTTATAAAATCATTGACATTGTGTCGTTTGAATCCGAGTACAATTTATGATGCAACTCCGATGTAAATAATATTTGGGACGTAAAGATTAAATCTAGGCAAGACTATTTCCTAAAAGAATTAAAACTAAAAATAATGTTCGTAAAATTTCCAAACGTTCTTTGCAAGCAAGCTATTTGCATGACAAGGCACTGCAAACTCTATTCAGGGGAGATAATAGAGTTTCAAAACTTTACAATTGGTCCAATAAACCAGTGAATGCAAGCGAGGAGCAATTAGTTTCAGAGTATTGCACTGTCTTTTTCTATTCGAGTGTACTCCTACGTTTATTTTGTATCATCAACACTCTGCACGTTGGAGTGGACTATTTAATTATTTTTTATTATGCCGAATATATTGGGGGGGGTTAAAATTTTTTTTGGAGGGGTGGACATTTTGTTTGGGGGGTTATAGCTAATATTGGGGGGGTAGCACCCCCTGCACCCCCCCCCCACAAAGTCCGTCTATGAAAACAAGTGTAACACCAAAGATCGATATCGATCTACATCGATATACATTGTTATGATCTTTGGAGTTACACTTGTTTTGTATTTTGCTAAAATACTCAGTGGTTATGTTTTTAGTATCAATATGTTTAGCTAGCTAGGATTTCTATAATTCCTGATGGTCCCTAATGCAAGCATTCATATTGGAATTTTATCCCTAATATTAAGAATATAAGATACACAGTGCTTCCATTTTCAAAAAACATAATTTCCTTCCAACCGTTCAAAATTTCCTTATTTTTGAAAAAATTTCCTTGCAATAAAAATTATTGAATTTTACCTAATTTAAAACTGATTTTATAGTAATTTATCTCGAATAACCGGGTATTTCTTGTTCTACAATCTTGGACAAAACCCTTGAGACCATTCCAGCTAATATTACAAAGTTATTGAACATTTACAAAACAAACTTTGTCTCCCCCCCCCCCCAGTTCAATGTTGTGAACAACGCCGAAACAACTTTTGGTAATATACCATGATACAAGCTCAACATTGAGTTGGGGGAGCGGGGTTTAAGAATGGCAACATGATTCAACATGGAGTTTATCATAAAAATACGCGAATTTTCTATAGGGGGAAAATAGTCTCAACCAGTTATGTCCAAGATTGTCTGAATGTGGGAATGTTACAAGCATATCAAAATTGTTTGAGAGTTATGGTTAGAAAGGCAGATAGGTTAGTGTTGCGATGGAGGAAAAATTATTAAATATATGTTACACTGCAAGTACTGTAGGTAACCGAAATTTTTATCCATATTAGCAATCATTCCAGGCGATGCAAAATCTATATTTGTATTGTAAGTAAAGGGAAATTAATTAGGAGGACATAATACACGTCTGGATGAAAGTAAATTATTTATTGGACTTTTGGTAAACTTGATTTCTACCTTATTCCATATCATCATTGAAAGCTTCGTATAGTGAATGTAAAAACATATCCAACACTAAAAGTAACCGAATTGGTCAAAACTTGATAACATGGTTTGCTCAGAAAACGGCTATTCACTCTAACGTGCGAACGTTCCCTGCTCCATTTGAACCAATTAGCTACTGCTATAGAACATAGCTACAGAGTTTAAAAAGAAATGGAATCATGGACATACTAAACGTTGTCTACACTGCAGCTATTTTCATATAGGCAATCCGCACTTTTC